GAAAGGGGGAAATATATCATTGAATATATTGCAACTTGTTTGCTTCAGCTATGGCTGAAAATTCTCGAGTATATGAAAGCTATATGAAGTGAACATGGTGTTGGCATCATAGGTTGATTTTTTTGAAGGTGTTATGAAGCATCTGAAAGTTGGGTCAGAGTCCTGACTGCTGATGAGCGAGTGGGGATGTAGCATATTAAGCAGCAGGAGAAAAATCTGATGTGGTAGGCAGAAGCTGTTAAATGAAGGTATATTCCTAGGTCTTGATCACCCATCTGTGGTCATTGAACTTCTTCCAGCACTGCTGCCAGATCCTAGAGCCCAGACTCTAGGAATTTAACTCACTTGCCATTTGCTTACATTTCTTTCTCAGGTTACTCACTTAGGTGTCTTCTGATATGCGGGGAGGCAATCGCCTAGTGGTATTATCACTGGACTGTTAATCCAGAGACCCAGATAACGTTCTGGGGACCCAGGTTTGAATCCTGCCACGGCAGACGATGGAATTTGAATTCAGAAAAATATCTGGAATTAAGAATCTAATGATGACCATCAATCCATTGCCGATTGTTGGAAAAACCCATCTGGTTCACTAACGTCTAAGGTTCTTGAGTAGATTTGGAGCTCGAGTTGTGAATGCTGTGGTTGGTTCACTTGCCGAGCTGGTTCGTTAGTTTGCAAATGTTTCATTACCCAGCTGGGTAACGTCATCAGTGCAGCCCCCGATGAAGCGTTGTTGTGTTTTCCCACCTGGTATTTAAACTCTGGGATCAGTTGGATTTGATTACCTTCTTTCTGGTTTTCCTTCACGGTGGTGTGAGTATATATAGGGTCTAGTTCTATGTGTTTGTTGATGGCCTTCTTGGTGGAGAACGAGGCTTCTACGAATTCCCGTGCTTGTCTCTGTTAGGCCTGTCCTAGGATCCTGGTGTTGTCCCTGTCGAACTGGTGGTTCTCCTTATCCGTGTGAATGGAGATGAGGTGAGCATTGGTCGTTTTTTTTTTTTTTCGTTGCTAGTTGGTGTTTGTACTCCTGTGGCCAGTTTCCTTCCTGTCTGTCCAATGTAATGTTTGTCGCAGTCCTTGCATGGAATTTTGTATATTATGTTGGTTCTGTCCATAGTGGGTAAGGGGTCTTTGGTTCGAGTTAGCAGTTGGCGTAGTGTTGATGTAGGTTTGTGTGCTACTCTGATGCCCAGTGGTCGTAGGAGTCTTGTGGTCAGTTCTGGTATGTTCTTGATGGATGGTAGCATGGTGATTGTGTTAAGGCTTGCAACATCTTCCTGTTGTTGTTCGTGTGATAGGCATCATCGGATCCCGTTGTTCGGGTATCCGTTGTCCTTAAATACTTGATGGAGGTACTCCTCTTCTTTTTGGCGTAGTTCCGGGTTGCTACAGTGTGTTGTCGCGCATTTATATAGTGTTTTAACACAACTTCGTTGGTGGGTGTTGGGGTGGTTACTGTTGAAATTCACTACTTGGTCAGTATGTGTGGCTTTTCTGTGTACCTTCATCAGAAGTTCTCCGTTGGCCCTGTGTTCTACCATGACGTCCAGGAATGGGAGCTGTTCGTTCCTCCTTTTCCTCTTCCCTGGTGAATTTGCCGGTGAAAGTGTTGTTCATTAGCTCGTGTGTCTCCTCTAGTTTGGTCCGTTTGATGATAACGAAAGTGTCGTCCATGCATCAGATCCATAGTTTGGGTTGGATTTGCGGAAGGGCCATACTTTCGACTCTCTGCATCACCGCTTCTGCTACTAGTCCAGAGATAGGTGACCCCATGGGTGTCCTGTTGATCTGTTTGCAGATTTGGCCATTGAAGGTAAAGTCAGTCGTGAGGTATAGGTCCAGTAGTTTCAGCATGTTGTCTGTGGAGATGCTGTCACTTGGGTCTCGTTCTTTTAGTGGTGTTGCTAGTGTTTGTCTTGCCAGTGGTATGTCAATTGATGTGAATAGGGCGGTAACTTCAAATGACACCATGGTCTCGTCATTGTCTGTTCTTTATGTCCTTGACGGATTAGAGGAACTCCTGGTCTGAGTGGATTGAGTGGGGTGACTTGCTGACGAGGTGCTTTAGCCTTCGTTGTAACTCCTTGGCTAACCTGTCTGTTGGTGTGCCTGGGAGGGAGACTATGGGTCTGAGGGGTACTTCCGGTTTGTGTACCTTTTGGGAGGCCGTAGAATCGGGGTGTTTGTCCCTTCTGGTTTTATCTTTAGGTAGTCGGCTTTTTGATTTGTCCGGTCTGTTTGAGTGTCTTTAGTGTGCTGATTATTTTATTACCCAGTTGCTGTGTCGGGTCTATTTGCACTTGCCGGTATGTGTTCACGTCTGCTGGTAGTGTCTGTGCTTCAGTGAGGTAGTCCCGTTTGTTTATTATTACTGTCGTGCGCCCTTTATCCGCTGGTAGGATTATGATGTTTTTGTCTTTTTTCAGTCCTCCTAGGGCCTTCCTTTCTGATGTGTTGAGAGTGTCAAGTTCGCTCCTTCTGATCAATGTCGACACCACTGTCTGACTTATGGCTTGTTGTGTTTCCTCCTTGATGCCACTGGTCTTCAGTTTGGCTTCTAGTGTGGCTAGGAATTCTGTCTTGCCAGTGTGACTAGTGTCCTTCAGTGAAGGAAACTGCCATCCTTACCTGGTCTGGCTTATATGTGACTCTAGACCCACAGCAATGTGGTTGACCTTGAACTGCCCTCTGGGCAATGAATGATGCCTAGCCAGCGACACCCTCATCCTGTTAATGAATAAAGGGAAAAAAAAAATCCCCGAGAAGGATGATCGCTCCTTCTGCTGACCCCCTAAACTATGGTCTCTGGCACCACATCCAGGAACCTGGAATTCTTCTCTTGCCTATTAGCTCATTTTGGTTTCCTTACAGCTGCGTGCAGTTTAGGCAGACAGTACAAGTTCCTGTGGAATGAGTGCAGCTCCTCTTTAAGGTAGAAAGGCTGCCTTTCAGAGGTGTAAGATAGTTGAAACACATGGTGGCACACACATTATAGGTTATCTAGTTGAACTGTCAGCCACAGCTGCACTGGTTGCTGTCTGCTGAATACTACAATCTCCTTCAGCAGTACTAAGAGGGAACAAATTACAAGTCACAACTTGCATGTCTAGAAACAGGAGCTATCCAGTTTTTAGCCCATGCTGTTTAGTGTCTGTCTTATCTTGTCCATAATTATTTTTGTTTCCTTTTCTTTCCCACAATGAACATCGTTTCAGTGTGGTTTTATGTGTGGTTTTCAGATTGGATTTTCTTTCGGTAGAGAACAGGATGCCTACAGCCCAATGGCCTAGACATGGAATTCACCAGTTTTAAAATTCCCCCCACCACCGGCCTCATCCCATGTCCAACCCCCCTCCTCATCCCCGCCTCCTTGACTTGACACAAACTGTCCATCTTCTCTTCCACCTATCTGCCCCACACATCCCACTGACACTACTCCCTACCTGCACTCACCTGTCACCATCCCGCCTACCTTCCCCAGCCCTACCCCTCTTCTCTCTCTTCATTTCCCAGCTCCCTTCCCCCTCCCCATTTCTGAAGACGGGTCGCGACCCAAAACGTCAATTTTCCTGCACCTCTGCTGTCTGGCCTGCAGTGTTCCTCCAGCTCCGCACTGTGTTGCCACTTCAAGACTGTCGACTTTAGATGCAATTTTTTTTATTCAGAAGAGCTTGGAATGACTCATGACTGAATGGCATTCATTTGACTCTTGACCTGTTAAGACTAAATGAGTTTGTTCCACACACTTCGATTTTAAAACAAGATGAGGGTATTGTAATTCTTCCAAAAAAAAGGCAATTTCTTTTTATTAAGTGTAGAGAGCGCCCATCGAAGATTTGTGTGGAGGGCATCACTGCCAAGCTTAATGCTGTTGTTTCCTGATGTGCATGTCCTAATAATTGTGATTGGAATACAGTCAGAAAGTAGGCATCTTGGTCATTTTAAAATATTTTCATATCTGCGTATTTACTTTTCTCCCGTTATCTCCCGAGACCAGTAACAGTCTGGCCATCACTGACTGGGATCACAAAATTCAGCATGGACTAGGGACTGAATTAAGGATATTCTGGTCGGTATACCACAGGATCATATAACACAATACGTTTCCTTTTAAGCCATTGGAGGAAGTTGAGGGTGTTGTTCTTTTTATTAAGCCATTTTTTTCAGGTTCTTCACACGTAGTAAAAATCTATTCAGTTGGTTTCACTTAAATTTTCATTGGTAACAAATGTTTTTATTTCTTGCTTAAGATGAGCAGTGGCAGCCAGTTGCAAATAATGAATAAACTGCACAAGGCTCAATAGACTTTGTTTAGTAAACACCATGAATTATGTTTAAATCTGTACATAAATAACAAATGGGAACGGAGCAGGAATCACTGGTCATAATATGGAGCCTTGTCACAAACTTATTTTTCTTCAAATGCAATTATGATATTGTTACGCATTATATTAGGTTTTTTGGGAATTTGTGATCACAGTTAAGTATTAAACCATTGATAAGGAATTTTCAGGTGGTTAATTATATATAAGAAAAGGTTAGATATGATAAATTAATGCAGAAAATTTACAGCCCATAACAGATTGAAGTGGCGGAGGCACCCCCCTTGTTTTCAGCCAAAGGGCTATTTAGGTCGGCTTCCTCTTTTGCTGGCCCACCTTCCATCTGAAGAAGGCACTTGATTGACAAGGACTACTCCCTCACAAGGGCATCTCCTCTAGTTCTGAGCACTTGTTGATATACCCTATTTTGGGGCTAGCAATCTACACTGTATCTGTCACATGTCTGAATCCTTTCAGCCAATGAGCAAGAGACAACTACTAATAACGCCAGAATATTTATTGCCCATCTGTCCACTTCCGTTGCAAAGTCAGTATAGATTTTCCCAAAAACAAACCCTTCCAGTTTCCCTAAACAGCTTGGGGCAACAGGCGTTAGTGGCTTGGTAGCGTTCATAACCGTTATCTTGAACTTGCTTTTTGTCCTTGTTTCAGAATCGTTTATGTCTGGGGAAGAGAAGTAACTATTGTAGCGGCCATTACGTGAAGTCTCATGTTACAAAGGATATACCAGTAGAGTTAAATTTTGAGAGGATCCCAATTTCCAGGTTAAAATCAGAACAGCTCTTCCCAAAGATGGTAAGCATGGCAGTGACAGAACAATAGGTGTGTTAGCTTTTAAATTTTGTCACGGTGTGGTTTTGGAAGGAGTGTGACAACCCAATTTTGTTTAGCCATTCACGACATTTCAGATGTACCATTTAAGTTAAGTATCACAGTGCTGTAAACTTTCTTTGAAATTCCTAGATAAAAAGCTGCAGTTTGGTGGAAAACAGTAAAGGCTGATTAAAAGTAAATGAGGCTATTAAAATTCAATCTCAAATTTTAGATCTGTGTTTTTCCTGTCTCTTCGTTGCCTTCATGGTTCAAGAGATGGCCATGATTCCTAGAATAGAAGTCAGATCATCATGTCAAGATCCCGACCACTATTAAAACACAATATTGTATGGATATAAATAATTAAGTTGTTTGTTCTACGTTGTTTTCTTTTGTTTATCTAAACATTTCTTAAACAGCTTTGTACTTTCTTTCCTTAAGTTTTGGGAAGAGGAGGAACTGCAAATCAGACTGTTTCTTTTATTTTTAAAATTAACCTGCGTTGCTACTTTTATGAACTTGGGATATTTCTAAAGGTACTGGACTGTCTTATGTACATTATCTACCATCAGATTTTAATGCTTCATACTGGTTGAATATTGATAACGTTGCCATCTTCTTCTGTAGCAGACCATGAGTATTGATGGAACAGTTCAATTTGAATAAACTGCTTTTGAATTGGCATTTAACCATCATGAGCTGTTGTAGGAGAGTTTCACTGTTGAGGTTAAGCAGAAGGAATGAAGTAGTTGTGGATGACTATATCTTGGATGTGAAATATAAAATAATGAAGCAAAACAAAAACTCATGGTTCATTCTGCCTACATATTTCACGTCAACTTGGATGATGGGCAATAGCGTCAGAAGTAATAATAGCAAATACAGCCCTGTTGATTCTGAAAGGTTCTCCTAACATCTGGGGCTCGTGCTAAAATTGGGAGAGGTGTCACAGTTTAACCAAGCAGCACGTAACATAGTCATACACGCAGAATCATACCTTGGGAGGCAGTTGCCTACATTGACTCCAGTCCCCGTGAAATTTCATGAGATCATGTCAAACATGGATGAAGAAACATGCTGATTATGTCATCTTGCCCTCCTTCGCTAATGAGTCATTACTCCATGTTGAGCAACACTTGGAGGACACCCTGAGGATAGCAAGTGTGCAGGATGTAATCCCTGTGGAGGACTTTAGTGAACACCATCAAGAGTGGCTTGGCAGGACCACTACTGACCAAGTAGGTCAAGTCCTTGTGACATTAGTTGCTGGATTGGGCTCATGGCAGGTGCTGAGGTAACTAACAAGGTGTGAATAACTAACTTGACCCTATCATGACCAATTTGCATGCTGCAGATGCATCTTTAATGGCAGTATGGTAGGAGTGACACTGTCCTTGTAAAGAAAATTCCATCTTCGCGTTGAGAATATCCTACATCGTATTTTGTGGCATTACTACCGTGCTAAATCAGTACACTTCGTACAGATCTAGCAACTCAGGACTGGATATCCTTGAGGTGCTTTGGGCTTTCAGCAGCAGAATTGTATTCCAACACAATCTGCAACCTCATGGCCTGGCATATTCTTCACTTTACCATTGTCATCAAGCCAGGAGCACTATGAGGCATGTGAGGAGTCAACCTACTAAAGTTACAAAGCAACTATTTGTGCACCAAATAGCATAAATAACATATGATAGACAGAGGAAAGCAATTTGCAATCAATGGATCAGATCTAAGCTCTGCAGTTCCGCCACATCCAGTCTTTGAATGGTGGTGCACAAATAAACAACTCACTGGAGGAGAAGGCTCCACAGATATCTCCATTCTGAATAATGGAATCCCAGCACATAAGTGCAAAGAATAAGACTGAATCAATCATGACAATCGTCAGCCAGAAGTGTCAATTGGATGATCCCTCTCCGCTTCCTTCAGAGGTCCCCAGCATTACAGATGCCAGTCTTCAGCCAATTCAATTCACTCTGTCATATCAAAAAAGAAGTGTCAAATTACTGGGTACTGCAAAGGCTGTGATCTCTGACAACATTAAGTCAATAGGCCTCAAGGCTTGTGTTCCAAAACTTGCTAAGTTCTTCCATTGCAGCTGCAACACTGCCATCAACCCACCAATGTGGGAAACTGCCCAGATATGTCTTGTTTATGAAAAGCAGGACAAATCCCATCTGGCCAATTGCAAACCCATCCACGTACTCCAATTATATTAGTAAAGTGATGGTAAGGCAGACCTCTCAAGCACTGTTTGCTTGGCAATAACCTACTGACTGAAACCTAGTTTGGATTCTACCAGACCACTCTGTTCCTGGCCTCGTTACAGCTGGTTGGCATCATCCTGCCATGAATGAAGATAGTTGTGGTTGTTGGAGGTCAGTCCTGGAACTGAGAGGACATCTCTAGTGCTGTCCTAGGCCCAACTATCTTCAACTACTTTCATTAATGACCTTCCCTCCATCACAAGATCAGAAGTGGGGATGTTCACTGATTGCACAAGGTTCAATAACACTCGTGACTCCTCAGATACTGAAGCAGTTCATGTTCATGTGCAGCAAGACCCAGAAAATATCCAGGTTTGGACTGATAAGTAGCAAGAATCACTCATGCTTAGCAATGACCATCTCCAAGACTGAATGTAATCATCACCCTGTGACATTCAATGGTATTACTGTCACTAAATCGCCACCGTCAACATGCTTGGTGGTTACCATTGACTAGGAACTAAACTGAACAGAACTAGCCGTATGAACATGGTAGCAATAAGACCAGGCCAGAGACCAGGAATTCCATAGTAAGTCACCTACTGACTCTCACAATCTGTCCACCATCTAAAAGTTACAAGTTAGACAGAGATAGCAAGAACTGCAGATGCTGGAGTCAGAGTCGACACAATGTGGAGCTGGAGGAACACCGGTCAGGCAGCATCAGAGGAACAGGAAAGTCGATGTTTCAGGTTGGGACCCTTCATCAGAACTTACTTAGAATTAGTTGCACCAAAGTTATAAATTAGAGTTCTGATTAAGGGTCCTAACCAGGTACAAGTTAAGGGTGTGATGAAATAGTTCCCACTTTCTGGAACAAGTGCAGCTCCGACAAAACTCTAGAAGCTCAACATCATGCAGGACAAAGCAGCCCACTTGATTGAGACCACATCCAGAAACATTCACGCCTCCTGTAACACCTAAGTAACAGCAGTGTACCATCTACAAGATGCACTGCAGAAATTCACCAAGGCTCCTGAGGCAGCACCTTCCAAAAGTACGATATGGAAGGACAATATATGGTAGGTAGATAAGAACACAACTGCTTGTAGGTTCCACTCTAAGTCACTTGCTAGTCTGAGTTGGAACTATATTGCTGTTCCTTCAGTGTCACTGGGTCAAAACCCACATCACTTGGGCTACATCAATTCAAGAAGGCAGCTTACTACCTCATTATCGAGGAAAATGTGAAATAGGCAATAAATGCTGACCCATTCAGAAATGCCCACATCCCAATAACACATTTTTAAAAAATTCAATGTCCCCTTGAAACGTGCATTTGCTACTTTTGTGACATGGATGTATTTAGCGCAACTAATTCTAAAGTTACAAAAAGAGCTAAATGCATATGATCTACAGAGAAGATCTACTGTACAGAAAAGTGATCAGGGCTAGGAAGTGATAAGAATTAAAATTTAAGAAGCATGGACAATAAGTTGCATTGACAACAAAGGATAACATCAGTATATTAATAAGGGAGGATCTCCAATTGGGAAGAACAATATGTGGAATATGTTTGGTTGGAATTAAGCAGCAGCAAGGGGCAGCAAACATTGTTTCATAGGCCAGTAAATTGTAGCAGCCATGTGGGACATGGTACTAATCACCAAAATGAGAGAAGTGTTTAGCATGGACAACACAGTAATCATGAATGACGCCATCAACATATACCAAATGAGTACGAAAGCTGTGAATTGCATGTTTTTGGAGTCTGTTTGGGATGGTCTCCTGGAGCAGTATGTTAAGGAGCTGTCCGGGGGACAGGCTATTTCAAATTTAATATTGCGTAATGAATAAGAGCCTATGAATAAACTTGTTGCAGTAGAACCTCTAGAGATGAATGATCACAATGTGATGGAATTTTACATTATGTCTAAAAGTGAGGTAGTTCAATCTGAAGGGAAGGTGTTACATTTGAATGAGAGGAAATTATGAAGGCCTGAGACAAACATTAGCTGAGATGGTTTAGGAGATACATTAAAAGGCATGATTGTACATTAAGCAGTTGATGGTTTTTAAAGGGCATTTTTTTTCATTATTCCTTCACAGGATGAGGGCATCTCTTGCTAGGCCAGCATTCTTTCCCATCTGTAATTGCCCAGAGGGCAGTTAAGGGTCAACCACATTACTGTGGGTCTGGGGTCACATTTAGGCTAGACCAGGCAAGGACAGCTGATTTCCTTCCCTGAAGGACATTAGTGAACTAGATGGGTTTTTCTGACAATCGCCAATGGATTCATGGTCACCAGTAGACTCTGAATTCCAGATTTTTTTAAATTGAATTCAAATTCCACTATCTGCCTTGGCAGAATTCGAACTCGGATCCCCGTAGCATTACCTAGGTCTCTGGATTAACAGTCTAGTGATAATTTCACTAGGCCATCGCTTCCCCATTTCATGGCTATTACATGGCTTACAGCAATTATGTGTACATCAAGGTGGAACAACTCAAAAGAAAAGGCACTCAACTGCTGTTGACAAAGTTCAAGATTGTAGATGACTAAAATAAAAGGCTTACCAAATAGCCAGAAATTGTATTAAATCTGAGAATTGAGGTTTTTTAGAATACAGCAAAGGAGGACCAGGAAAGATTGAATAGTTATGTGAATGTGATCTAGCAAAAAGAAAACATGAAAATGTACTGCAAAAGTTTCTATACGTACATAGAGGAAATGGTTGGCTAAAACTCTATTTCCAAAGGCCTTGGAGTTA